GCCACCACACCGGCTAATTTTTGGTATTTTTGGTAGAGACGGGGTTTCACCGCGTTGGTCAGGCTGTTCTTGAACTGCTGACTTTGTGATTCACCCGTCTTGGTGCTGACCTCGTGATTCACCCGTCTCGGCCTCTCAAAGTGCTGGGATTACAGGTGTGCGCCACCACACCTGGCCAGCTTCTCTGTTTCTCAGCCTGTGCCTCCTGAGGAGCCAGTTGCTGTCTTGTGACTGCCTGCTTCCATCTCTCCTACCTAGCTGGAGCTCTGGGGACCACATCCTATTCGCTGCTCTGTCCCTAGCTCCTAGCACTGTCTGTTTCTCAGCAGGCGCTGCACCCATGCTTTGTTGAACAGACAAATCAATGATGAGTGACATGCTGTGTCTGGTGTGTGCTTCTGCAAAGGGGTGTGTGTGTGTGCATGTGCACGCATGTGTGTGTGGTTTTGGGTTTATGGTTGTGTATTTGGATAGCCTAGAAAGCCCTTTTACAAGGATGTCTGTGCATGGTGCTGGGGGCACAGAGACTGCCACGGGCTTGACTGTTCCCTACAGAGGGAGGGTCAGTGGGCGTGTGCTCCCGCCCTCTGCAGGGGCAGTGCCTTCAGTCTGAGCTCTGCTTCCCTGCAGTGGAGCCACATGTTCCTGCTGATTGAGGACCAAGGTGCCCAGGGCTATGAACTGTTCTTCAAGACAAGAGAGTTGAAGAAGAAGTGGATGGAGCAGTTTGAGATGGCCATGTGAGTCCCCGTCTTCCTTCCTCTTTCTGTCCTCAGAGGGGCAGGGGCTGGGAAAGAGGAATGTGCTCTAGTCCCTACTCTGTCCTGACATGCCATGGGACCACTCTGAACCTCAGTCTCTTCATTTGGGAAATAAGAGGGACAGGCCCAAGGCTGTCTTCATCCTTGGAATGCCGGAGTTGTGTGCAAGCTCCTTTCCTCCCCCTCTTTCCTCTTCCTGCTCTTCCTCTTGTTCTTCCTCCTCCTCTCTTTCTTCCTCCTCTCCTTCCTCCCCTTCCTCCTCCTTTCCTTCCTTCTCTTCCTCTTCCTCCTCTTCCTCTTCCTCCTATTCCTCCTCCACCCCTTCTTCCTTCTCCTCCCTTTCCTCCCTTTTTTCCTCTTCCTTCTCCTCCTCTTCCTCCTCCTCCCTTTCCTCCTCTTCCTCCTCCTCCTCCTTCTTCCCCTCTTCCTCATCTTCCACTTCTGTCTTCTCCTCCTCCTTTTTACATGAGGCAAAATGCCCACGACAAAAATCTAACAATTTCAAAGTGCACGATTGCACGGCACTTTGTACACTAACAGTGTTGTGCAACCATCACCTCTATCCAGTTTCAAAACCTTTTCGTCAGCCCAAAGGAGACCTCATACCCATTAAACATTCACTCCCAATTCCCCGCTCTTGCAGCCCCTGGAAACTCCTAACCTGCTTTCTCTTTCTCCCGATGTGCATAGCAGCACGATTCAGTGTGGCCAAAGGGTGGAAACGACCCAGACATCAATCAGGGAATGAGTGGACGCACCAAATATGGTCTGTTCACGCCATGGAATAGTATTCAGCCATAAAAAGGAATAAAATGCTGATCCTCTTTTTTTTTTTTTTAATTTTCCTCTGCCAGCTCCAACATCTACCCGGAGAATGCCACCGCCAACGGGCATGACTTCCAGATGTTCTCTTTTGAGGAGACCACGTCCTGCAAGGCTTGTCAGATGCTGCTTAGGTGGGAATCTAGGAGGAAGGTCCTGCATCCTGGGCTTGGTCATCAGTTCCTTGCTAGAGAAGCTGCCCCAGTAATTGGTTCCCTAAATTGGGAGATGGGGGGTTCCTACTTTGATCTTCTGCTTCTCCGTCACTCTCCTGGTCTAAAGAGAACCCAAGGGGGCCCTTTATGTTCTTGGCAGAATATTTGGCCAAGTCTGTAAAGGTCACTCACTCCTCTTTATGTGTCCCCTGCATCTCAGAGGTACCTTCTATCAGGGCTATCGCTGCCATCGGTGCCGGGCACCTGCACACAAGGAGTGTCTGGGGAGGGTCCCTCCGTGTGGCCGACACGGGCAAGGTACGAGTGGGAGGGAGGCTGGGAGGTGAGCTTGGTTCTCTGCGGAGGATTTCCCGTTCTCACCGTTACCTTTACTCCCCCATAGATTTCCCGGGAACTATGAGGAAGGTAAGACTTTCCCACGCTCCTTCCTGTGCACTGCAAATAATGGGCAACAGTGCGGGGAGGACCCAGGGCATCCCGGAACTGGCCGTGATCCTTTGTGGGGTGAGGACAGTGATGGGGGCCTACAAGCCCCCAGGCTGGGCATCGGTAAACAGGTTTTCTTTGTCTCTCCTTCCAGGACAAACTGCATCGCAGGGCTCAGGACAAAAAGAGGAATGAGCTGGGTGAGTTGGCAGGGGATGCTGTGTGGGGGCAGGAGGAAAATGTATCTCCATTCATGTTGATCCAGGGACAGATCTCCATAATCATATTAACAGCCACATTGGGCTGGGTGCAATGGCTCCCACCTGTAATCCCAGCAATTTGGGAGGCCAAGGCGGGAGGATCGCTTGAAGTCAGGTGCACGCCACCACACCTAATTTTTAAATTTTTAAAATAGAGGTGAGGTCTTGCTATGTTGCCCAGTCATACTGTATAAATTAACTCATACAGTATGTGCTTATTTTAACTAATTAATTAATTTATTTTTGGAGATGGAATCTTGCCCCGTTGCCCAGGCTGGAGTGCAGTGGTGCGATCTTGGCTCACTACAACCTCCACCTCCCAAGTTCAAATGATTCTCCTGCCTCAGCCTCCTGAGCAACTGGGACTACAGGCACCACGCTTGGCTAATTTTTGTATTTTTAGTAGAGACGGTGTTTCACCATGTTGGGCAGGCTGGTCTCGAACTCTTAACCTCAGGTGATCGGCCTGCTTGGCCTCCCAGAGTGTTGGGATTACAGGCATGAGCCACTGTGCCCAACCTTAATTTAAAAAAAACTTAAGGCCAGGCGCGGTGGCTCAAGCCTGTAATCTCAGCACTTTGGGAGGCCGAGATGGGCGGATCACGAGGTCAGGAGATCGAGACCATCCTGGCGAACACGGTGAAACCCCGTCTCTACTAAAAAAA